ACATTACCGACATTTATAAGATACCTAAGCAGTTTCTATAGCTGCACAGGAGCACTCTCCAGTACTTTAATATGGAAGATTTGGCCATGCATTGTGATGATGTTTAGGATTTTTCTTATAAATTTTCAAGTTGCTGACCTTCATACCTCCTGTGAAAGGAGCAAAGAATGCTCCATACAGGCGCATTTTGAATGGAGACAGCACTAGAAGTACCTATTTGTATACAAACACGTGCTACAAATAGGTTATACATTTAGTACTTGATTTTGAACGCGCTATTATTTTGCCATTATTGTGTGAAACTTCGAGGAGTAAAATGGAGCACAAAATAGGAGTGACATGCTACAGACAATGAGATCATCCTTGGTCATTTCTCATTAGAACAGGTTTAAGAACTCGCAGCAAGAAATGAAAGGGGCACGAGCAAATAAACTGAGAACAATAGCTGCTTTTCTCTCTTTAGAAGGATGCGCAAATGACATGATCATCAGTTTCTTGCAAATATTGTACAGAAGTAAGCTGTGGGTCTAATCCTGCAAGTCTTGACACAGTTCTGTTAACTTCCCAGGGAGGAATTTGTGGCATCAACCTTACACATCTGTGCTGCAAAAGTAAAGGTGTATGGCAGGACAGCATATGGGTACATACCACAAGGGGAAGACGTGCCCTCTAAAAGAAGTTGTTGGAGACCTACCTGATGCAAACCATTTCCGCTTTACATCAAGGGAAACTGCACAGTTCAGTGGCAGTTTAGCTTCACTGAGTCAGTGTTAGGGATGGGACAAGTCCAAGGTCCTTTGAACTACAGCTATCCCTCAGTTAAATGAGTTTAACTTGTGGAAGTATAGCACATGACAAACATGACTACATTTTAAAAGACTCACTCTGTGGCACTGCATTGTATTTTGCGAGTTTAATAAGCACACTTCTACAAAAGTTCTCATGTTGCAAAACGAGCTCAAGTTTATGTGCAAGATTCAACATTGTTAAGATAAAGTTGGGCTCAGTAAATGAAGGTTATGTGATACAACAATACATTTTACTTTTGCTTTAAAGAGGATTATAACTGTTGAGTATTAGAGAAATCTCAATGGCTGACAGAAGAGCGGAACTGGCTTCAAAGTCATTCTACTGTAATAAACCAAGAAGTCATTACGTTTCTGATATTGGAATTTGATCCAACTCAATTGAAAAATACTCAGGATCAAGCCAAATACAAGACACAGGCACTTCTGCCCAGAATTATAAGCTTCAAAGTGTTTACCTTTGGTCTTGCACCACCAAGAAACATGGTAAGGATTTATTTTTGCATTCTGTTTCCCAATATTTTTTGAAGAGGCAATACTTACCTTCTTCCTATGAGTCAAAAAAATTATTCTGAAATGATTAGCAACAATTTAAAGTGTGTAGTAGTATGCTATACTTCACCTGTATAGTTTATAGTCATATACAATGCTCTATGTATTGTTTTCAATTCTCATTGCAGAAGAACTGGATTGCAGTAACTTGAAGTATCATTGTGTATCTTATTTTGGGCAGCCTTACTTTCAAACTAAGCATCCCTGATTATTCCTATGCCACATCACAGCAGCAGGGTAATATGGCTTTATCAATGTTTGCTCTAAAGGAAAGCTCTGCTAAATTAATTAAATGCAAAAATGGGTACATCCTTGCCTTCCCGAGTCTGCTGAGAATGGGCAACAACAGCTCTATGTCCTGCATGAATGACTCCCATTCATTTCAGTGAAGATTTAGCTTTGAGGCCTTCCTAGCCTTCAGCACTTAAATTACAGTAGCATCTTTATGTAAGGAGAGAGAGTTCGTTGTTTTCTGGGTGCAGTGGTAGGATCTGTGAAGTTCCTTTTAATGACTGTTGATGGAGGAAATTCAATTGTATCAAGCCCAGGAAGAAGGACAGGGAAATTATACTGTTTTATTGTCATCTCTCTGCCAAACTCCTAAGTTGCTGACATGTGAAATACCTTAGTTGCATTCATTCAATTCTAAAAGCCTTCCAGTTCTTCTCAGCAACATGTAGAGAACACTAATGCTCTTCCAGCATGAAACAGCTATGCCACACTGCTAAAGGCAGCATGATGACTGTAAGTGAGCAAGTTATCACAGCTTAATGAGTTAGCACTCATCAATAGAGCTGTGCAAGTTGATTATGTGCATGGTCCAAATTCACTGCAAATTTGAACTAAAATTTGTTTGTTTAAACCACTGTAAAAGGCCAATTTACTATCAGCTAATTTTTTTTACTTTGGTATTGCAAAGGACTAGACTTGAACATGCAGACCTTTACTGTGCCTCCGGTGATGAACCACAGTAACTAAATCAAATGTGATCTCTTAGGAACTGCTCACATCCTTGTATTTTCATTTCTATGTCTTACTGTGCTGGTTTTGGCTGGGATAGAGTTAATTTTCTTCATAGTAGCTACTGTGAGGCTATGTTTTGGATCTGTGCTGAAAACAGTGTTGATAGCACAGGCATATTTTCATTATTGCTGAGTAGTGCTTACATAGAGCCAACACCTTTTCATCTCCTCACATCACCCCACCAGTGAGTAGGCTGGGAGTGCACAAGAAGCGGGGAGGGAACACAGCTGTGACAGCTGACCCCAAATGACCAAAGGAATATTTCATACCGCATGACGTCATGCTCAGCACATAACACTGCAGGAATAAGAAGGAAGGGGAGGACACGTTTGGAGTCTCATTTGTCTTTCCAAGGAACTGTTATGCGTGATGAAGTCCTGATTTCCTGGAGATGGCTGAACACCTGCCCAACGATGGGAAGTGGAGTTTGGTTTGCTTTCATGCAGGGCTTTAGCTTTACGTTTAGCTTTACCTTTACCTATTCAACTGTCTTTATCTCAACTCTCACTTTTACTCCTCTGATTCTCTCTCCCATCCCACTGGGTAAGGGGTGAGTGAGCGCTGTGTGATACTTAGTTGCTTACTAAGCTTACTTAAAACTCCTTTGCTTACTGAGTTATTTACTCAGAAAATTTCATGGATTTACTGGGAATTGCTCAGCAGTTTTCAGGCTGCCACATTTCTCAGGTTCCTGCAATCTTCTGTATCAGTTGAAAAGTTGTAGCTGTAGAATTCAGCTCCAGTTTGTTTCAAGTCTCATGTAGGCTTATATGCATCATACCTAATACAGGTTTCAAAATACATGTATGATGAAAATACACGTGATCTACTACCCTCAGCAATACTAAGCATCCTATAAGCCTCTCTTTTTTGTATATAGCTCCCCAACATTTCACTGTATGTCACAAATGTACGTTGTCTGCAAGTACTGCTCTGTGTACTGAAGAATTTGAAGAAATGATGTAAGACCTGTACAACACATAGTGAAGTAGCTTTCCACTGTCTGCTCATGTTGCAAAAGCATCAGCATGGGGAGATTCCTGTTAGTGAAGCAGTTTTTAATCTAACAGAAGCAGATGTTTAAAAAGCTAAGTAATTCACAATTTTCTCAGGGAGGTTCTGGATTCACATTTATATTTTTTAAATAACATTTGGATGTTAACAAAACTCACAGAGCTCAAGCAAGTTGCAGAGATGGGCTACTCAAATAATCATGGGATGGAGGACCTTGCTTATCAGAGAAGACAAAAAGAGCCTAACAAGGTGTTTTACCTAGGAAGATGAAGGCAGATCAGGAATATGATTTTTCTTTATATACACATCAGGGTGGGAAAAGTTCTATTTAAGTTAAATGACAATAGTGGCACAAGAACGCATGACTGTAAGCCAGCCATGAATAAGTTTAAAGCTGGAAATTAGAAAAGGCTTTTTAAATGGGAAAAGTGTGAGGTGGTTAATGGCCTTCCAGAGAAGCATCTGGGTGACAGTCAAGGTTTAGGACAGCATTAGATAGCTCAGGAAATGGTTGCTTAAAGAACACGATCAAAGTAGAATTTTCCAGCTACAAACTTAAAAAGGAAATAACAAAACCAATGCATATGGCATGGTGATTTCTGGATTTGTAACCAAATCTCACTTCTTACAGCTCACAGAATACACTTTGGGGAGCTTAGAATCCCAAACATGGAGGAGGATGGCATTTTAGAGGCCTGAAAGTGATTTCAAAAGACTGTCAATGGTTTACTGCTCATTCACACTCCTGGGTGCTGTGTCTTTTAATCACTTCTTTCTCTCAAGCAAAAACTGTGTCTTTATTCATTTGCAAAGTTTCAAGACTTTATTGACTTAGAAAGCAATGGTACTTAAAAGATGTTTTGCAGGTGCACTCTTTTACAGCATCTCAAGCTATCTCAGAGCTTCTTGTTTCCATCAAATCATAAACATTTGGAACAAAATAAACAGTGCAGCAAGAAATAATCAGCTTTCACTGTTTAAAGTGCAGTTTCACTCCAAAAAGCAACTGTCTAAAATGGCACTATGGGATTCCACACTTGGTATATCTCAATGGCCTCCGGATCAAATTAACACTGTTTGCAGTATAATGTGTTTTTTTGCCAACTGCCAGACCTACAAACAGAAGCCAGGTTCTGAAAGTGAAGCTGTGTTCTTTCTGGCATATGCATTAGTAGAAGCAATTAAAAAAAATAATCTGGAAGTTAGATTTTGCCTTAAGTTACACCTTTGCAACCTCAGGGTCCTAGAGTGTTTCTTTTGATTACTGCTCTGCTGTCCCAGTCTTCTCAACAAAACTGTACTGAATGAACTGGGAGAGGAATTTAGTCCTGCAACTGGAACTGACAGGGAATTTAGTTGCTATGGAGAGAATCAGAGCAGAATCCACTAGTTCTATGCTACTAATAAGAAAAGAAAAAAAAAAATCATTTTGTCACTAAGCTAGGCAGATGTGGTTTTGAGTATACACAAGGAGCAGATATGTTCATTAGGATATTATAATGCTATTTTTATTACTACAGCTGCATTTTTAATGTAAATATATGAAAAATTTTATGGCTTTGGAA